CATCCCTCGCTGCCGCATCCCTCGGCCCCGTTCCCCTAACCCCTATACCTCCTCTCTCCCCTCGTTCCCCCTATCTGATCTCCTCTCTCCCTATGCCACCGCCACTGCTTCCCCACGCCGTCGCTGCCTCACAGCAAAATGTCACGCCCAGTTTCCTAAAATACCCAGGAGTCAGAACGTGAACAAGCCCGCGACGTATTAGATCAAGAAGAATAAATAAAAATAAATATTTCTCCTCAACCTAATACGCTAAGCATCAAAAAATAAATACAATGTGAAGTCATAGGTCCCCGATCACAGATAGAAGGAATATAATAGACAAACTCAGAATAAAAAATATCATATCACAAATGGGATAACATCTGAGACATAATATTCGGGTCAACATGCCCTTATACAAAATTATCTGAATGAAATACTGGAGAATATAAAATATAATGATCAAGTGGAAAAGGAAATGCTAAAAAAGAAACTAGGATCATCAACTAAGAAGAGGTAGCTGAACTTCGACCTATTCTTTAACTCTATCTGCAAGGCACTCCTTGTGACGCCCCTGGGTTCACGCAAGGCTACAGTCCAAGGTGAAACCAAAAATGTCAAACCTACCATGTACCACACCGTGCAATAACATGTTTTACCATCATAATTACTATCTCTTTAGTGGAATCAACTACAGGTGTAGGTACAAAGCAAGTAAAAGATTATACAACAAATAAATGATAAAATGATAGAACTCAAATTAATACATCTCACCAATCAAACAAGCTGGAATACATAGTCAATGTCGGAAATAAATAATAACAATATGGAGATCTCAACATGTCTCAAGTACACAATGTCTGTAAAGAAGTAAATAAGGCACACGGCCTTTACAACTCTAGAATAAACTCTCATATCTAGATAAAACAGTCTATAGTGGAGCTCTAACAATACAATGATATCTATGAAAGAAAAACAGGTGCTAATGAGTATCGTCCTCAACCTGCGACTCTTCGGGCTTCGGGCTCATTACCTGAAAGGGGGAGGAACAACGAGCGTCAAAGCACTAACGAGCAACATCACAACCAACCCCAAGGGAAAGGGCTCGTTGTATAAGAAAATACAGATTTATACATAGAATAATCATATCATTACTCCTAACAAATAAAGGGTTTTAGTATTTAGGGAACTACAACACGAGCGTAGGTACATCGAGCGAAATAATCCAAACAGGGAAATCCTCATGTATATACCTTATATCTCAAATTGTAAATCCCTAAATACCGAACCTAAAGTCTAATACAAGAACAATAAAGAAAAGAAGCAACCTATTACAATACGTAAAACAAATGTCATGTCAGAACCACATATGTGTCATGTCCAGTCTAGTAGCTATCATGTCTCAACTTCATATAATCATATCATGTCCTTATTTAGCTAAGTGTCATGCTCGTGGTTTAACCAATATCCAACACATGGACTGATTTGTGAATGTCCAACATGAGGACTGTGGATATAAACCATGGAATGCAAATGTTAAAATATACATATCCTATTCCTGTACGTGTCTTGATGTACAGATCTAAGCTTGTGACAAATGTGTCATCTTATATGTGTAGATGAAACCATCAATACTGTAATTAATACCCGATAAACGAGGTGGCTCCTCGTACTCAAAATGATAAACAGTACACTCGAATATATATACACTATATAGATATACACAGTAGGTGGTTAAACAGAAACATAAAATAAATCACTCGTCAGTCGACTCACAGTCGACTAGGGTCATCAGTCGACTCACGGTCGACTGGGATCCCCAGTCGACTCATGGTCGACCGAAAGAAGAACAAAACTGAAACCCGATAGTCGACTCACAGTCGACTGGGGTCATCAGTCGACTCACAGTCGACTGGGGGCATCGGTCGACTCACAGTCGACTGAACAGAGGGGTTTTCCCTGTTCGTGCATGTTGTGTTTATTTGCAAAAATTCATCTAAAAATAAAATTCATCAAACCCAAACAATGTACTATCAATTCTAAACATATGAGACAGTGTAAAATTTGTATAAAACATGGAAAACAAAATCTTGCATGTTAGATCTAACATTTAATCCCTAAACATGTATGAGAGTATTTAATCAATATGAAAACTGGTTTTTAAATAAATTCCCAGATCTGGGTTTTATCAAAGATTCGCTGGTGAGAATTTAGAGATCTGAAACACATGATTTTTAGCATTTACACTAGTAAGAACATCGATTTGTGCTTGAAAATAACTCTTAGGCTCAATAAATCTCATGAAAAACGTTTAAAACTCTTAAAAACATGGGAGAAGGATTGGGCGAGATGTTACTCGCTTCTGGTGTGCTGAAGAACGATTTTCTTCGCTGCAAACCATAAGAAGCTGCTGAAATTCCCCGAAAATCTCCCAAAAACGCCAAAAATCCAAAGCTAGGGTTTAAGAGGGGAAAGGGGGCTAGGGTTTCTGGGGAGAACTGATGAAAGGGGCCTCTCTCGGGTAGAATTTATTGTTGTGTAAAAGAGTTGTGATTTTCTTTTGTTGTGTAAAAGAGGTCTTATAAAAAGACTATTCCTTTGAATTTATTGTAATCGATCGAAGATATAATGAATTCCACAACGAGACCAACTTTTGATGAAAACAAACTGGCGACCACAGTGGGAGCCAACAGTCTCGCTACCGAGACCGTCGTGTCGCAGCCGATCAAGATCCCGATTGAATCAACGGTCGAGTACGAGTTCGACCAAGCGAAGTTTGAGGAGTATTTGTCATCCTCATCTGTAAAGTCTTCCTCACCTCGTAAATGCAGGAAGATTTCATCTTTGTTGAAGTTATCAAACACTACAGATGAAGAGTCTTGCTTAATTGTTGCTGAGGATTCTACTCGCAACCTCTCTGCTCATAATGACTCTTCTCCAATGAAGGAGTCATTAAATCAAAGCCCGCCGGCATTGACGCAAAGAGCTCGTCAGAGACAACGCCAACGCCGCGCTCGCCAAATGGCTAAAACCTTGGAACAACCTGACGGAGTTCGTTATCATGCGGACTTAGAGTCGAGGAGGCATCGAGTGGTTCAGTTGTCTCAAACACCAATCACTCATATCTCTGCTAAATTGACGACGGATGAATGGACTCTTGTCAAAAGGGCTCGCTTAACCCTCAAAGAATGTACACAAAAATGTTATGTAAACACTGCTCATGACCGTGCTCTCTCACAACAAAGA